CTCCCTGTAGCGCAATGCATAACGCGTTGAACTTTTAATCCAAGGGTCGTGGGTTCGAATCCCTCCTGGGATTGCCTGATTTCTGAGAATGTGATTTCTTTTTGCTATACTATTTTATTAGAATAATTAAATTTAGTTACTAAACAAATAGTAGCAAACTAAAATAATAGTCCAACACCTATACAGAAAGGAAAATGGAAAATTGCTTTCTATTTTGTCACTTGATGTTGTGATTCTGTCATATGTGTATACATATTTACATTAATTTTAATTATTTAATAAAATGTAACTGAAATAAAATTTGTCTTTATTTGACCTAAAGAGGAATTGACTTCAAATTTTTTTTGCATTATTTGTTTACAATATTTTGAAAGAGGAACTTTAATCATCTTGTACATACGAAAAAAATGGCTAAATATGCATAACTCAAAATGATCAATATTTCTAAATTTTTTTGTGTATAACCTTAACACATATTTTTCTTTATACACGTCATTAAAATCCAATCTATTTCAATATTTTAAGTTTCACTTCTGTTTAATATACAGTTAGAAAGCAACATAGATTTAAATAATTGTCCTTAAAAATAGTTAGGAGTTGAATTTTAGTTTTGTTTTTCAGCGGAGCTTATAGACTTGGAAATCTTTCCACAAATCTTAAAACCCCCTTGAATGAAGCATTCCGCAATGAAACCACATGTTTCCTCAATGGAAAAGCAAAGTTATCGATTTTTGAAACCACCGCAAGATAAAACTTTTATTTGGATATGCTGGAGCGCGGCGAAATGAATAAAAGGCGCGGAACATAAATATATGTAAATCCTACAGGATTTAGTCGGATTGTAAGCGAAGGACGAGTGAATTCACTTCTATTCTTCCCTATAATCATCGATTACTTTATGCATTAATTCTACTTCCAGACAATACAGGGTGTACGAGGGGAAAAGGTAGCTGTTGAAGAGACGATTTCGAGATTATTTTGCCGTCGTTGACTGCATGGGGAATTGGAACGGATTTAAATTTTGAATTTTAAGCGTTTTACGAGTTACAAAACTATATAATTTTTATGTTTAAAAGTGAAATACTCTTATGATAGACTGAATATATTTGCATGCTGTATGGATATATTTGAATTAATATGGAATATTTTCAACCCTTGCTGACCTATAAGGTTGCTAAGAGTAAATACTAGCATTTGACTGTTTATTTTAGTTTGTTTAGAGGATTGAGTATCGCTTCAATGGACTAAATTCGTGACGACCATATGATAAATGCTATCCCGTGTTCCCCATTGAATTTAAAGCTGTCATTAAACTTGTACTCGTGGTTTTACTAGCAAAATTTATACAAAATCGCAAATTTGTTAAAGGGGTAAATATGTTCGAATATTAAGATTCTTCAGAATTAAGGAAATGCACATTCCTATTACGTCTATATATTTTATACCGAGTGCTTTTTGGTTACCTATGTGATTTATTATTGTTGACAAATATGTACTTTTTAAAGGAAAGTTCCTACAAAAAGCAAACGTTGGCAACAGCGAAGCGCAGAAATTTATCAAGTGACTATGACGTTACATGAATTCATGAATTGATTGGATGGAAATGTTCCATTTTCATGTGATGACGATTGTATGTGAATTTAGTTCATTTAGATCAATGCGTGTTTTTGTCATGCATTTGTTCAAATATACCACAGTTGTATTATTGCACAAAATTATACTTACCAAATAATATAAAACATGCGAGAAAACACATTGATACAGAGCACACATGGCACAATAAACTAATAACAGTGCTTCTCAAACTTTCAATATTTGCGACCCAATATTCAAACATAAGTTTCATCGCGCCCCCTCGATACAGTAACAATAAATGAAATTCCATAATACTGTTCTTTGAAGCAAAACGTACTGTACGACTTACACCTCTTATATGCCACCACCGTATATAAACGTCCCTCTCAGCCAAAGCGTTATTTGCCTGAACGTATACATACGACTTTCCGAAGTACGATTTTTTTCTGTGCACTGCTATCCATAAAATTATTCTGAATACTATGGAATGCAATAAAAGGATCTTGTCAGTGTTTGGAATGATTTACTTATTTCAGAGCATTTGTTTATTTATTCCTTTTCTCTATCTCCCCCCTCGATACACCACATATCCTGGATTACGTGTTAAAAGTGCTTTGGGGAGCGAATCTCGTAATTTTTAATCGGCATTCAAGGGATTAATTATAAACCGTACACATTATCGAGATAGATGTTAATTTTTGTTTTCATTTTTATATATGACAAGTCATTAACATTGAAAATAGCGACCGAAGAAGGAAGCTAAGTACAATCGCGAAACTTTGCAAATAATTACAGCGTAATGTGATATGCAAATGATCCAAGTTTTGTGCCTATACGCATGCTCATACACGCCGAGGTGGCGCTACAATCAGGAATAGAGTGCTATATAAGCCAGCACAAATTCGAAGATTCATAAACGTGACGATTATCCGCCGATTGTAGGAAGACTTTGGTAAGCGAAACATGTCAGGTAAACGTGCTAGAAGACATTTCTCACAGTTAAGCGAGTTTGAGAGAGGCTTGATCATTGGGATGAAAACTGGAGGCTGGTCGACGAGCCGTGTTGCTGGCCAGGTGGATCGTTTGGAGTGTGCCGCTAGAAATTGTTGGGAGCAGTGGACACGAGAAGGTACCCACGCGCGGAAAACCGGGTCTGGAGCGACCAGGAAAACCACGAGGGGAGAGGATCAAAGGATCATGCGGCAAGCACTTGGGGACCCCACAGTGACTCGTTCATCGATACGAGCAGACGTAGGCGTAGTAATTGCTCCACAAACAATTTCCAGACACCTTGCAGAAGCAAATCTAAAATCCAAGCGCCCTTTCCGTGCACTCCCTTTAACACCGGAACATCGGCAACTGCGTCTACAGTGGTGCCAAGCCAGATCTATGCGGAATGTCACAGATTGGCAAAAGGTTGTGTTTAGTGATGAATCCCGGTTTGTTTTGGGGACAGATGATAACCGTGTACAGGTGTGGAGGCGCCCTGTAGAGCGGTACAATTCCCCCACACTGTTCTACGTCACACTGCCCGCACAGCTGGTATAATGGTCTGGGGCCATAGCCTATGATAGCCGGTCCACTTTAATTGTGATGCGTAGAACCATAACGGGTCAACGTTACGTTGATGATATTCTTCGACCCCATGTAGGACCTTTCCTAAATGGTCTCCCAGGGGCAATTTTCCAGCAAGAGTTGCTCAAGACTTCCTACGTCATTTTAGGACTCTTCTATGGCCGGCCCGCTCCCCCGATTTGTCCCCTGTAGAGCACGTGTGGGATAAGTTAAAATGGCATATGCCATCGTGTCACTCTGTACATGATTTAGAATTGGCTGTTCAAGATTCGTGGGCCCATCTGCCTCAGGACAACATAAGGTGTCTAATTAACTCAATGCCGGACCGTGTGGCGGCATGTATTGCAGCTGGAAGTGGTCCAACGCGCTATTGAAGTCGCCCAGTATTTGTATCGTTGCACATCCTGTATTCGTTTAATTGTCTTGTTTTTGAGATCAAGTGGATCTCTCATCTGTGTCAGTACGTGTATTAAATTTCATTTCAATCCGATGCTTTCTTCTTGGGTCGCTATTTTCAATGTTCCTGAGTGTATTTACTAGTGTATAATTAGTTAATATCTTTATTTGGGATATGGGGCAACAAAGGCTATAATCCCAACAAGTGTATTGTATCAGTGTAAATGTGTATTTTATTTTTTATTATGTCAGAATGTATTTTATTTGTTTACTTTCAGTAAATTAATAATTTTTTAAATAATCCTTTGTTTTCGACCTTTCAATATGCTTGCAGGACTGCGGTGGCCCAGTGGTCAAGGTATCGGATCATGGCAAGTATGTCATGAGTTCGAGCCTAGTACCACTAAAGACCAGCCGTGTAGGGCAGAGATGCATGTTAAATCTGTCGAGAGCTGAAACGTCCTCCCGTTGGTGTTGTGTAGTGTGGTAGTTAGGAGAGGAGGTACCAGCTCAGGTGTCATCCACGTCACTTGACCATGGTTCAAAATTACGTGGTCCGTTGTCAAAAGCCCTCGTGTTGCCGAACAGTGCGACGTTAATATTCACTTATTCAGTCATTCAATATGCTGGCGCCCTCTAGGGGGATGCGCCCCACAGTTTGAGAAACACTGAGTTATAAGGATAAAGCCCGTGCATGTTTTTATCAATGGCGTCAATTGATGAGTTTTTTTTTTTGTAAAAAAATATTTTCACATTCTCTAAAAAATGCAGACCAAGTATTAATGGGCTCAATTCATGACGGTCACATGATAAAGACAAACACATGTTCTCCATTGAATTCAAAACAGACATTAAACTAATTGTACTTGTTGTATTTGTAAAACTTGGTTAAAATTGGGTAAAAATGTTCAAATGTTTAAAAAAAATAAATTTCTTCAAAAGATTTTAAAATTAAAAAAAAAAATTATTTTAAGCATGCATTTTCAAATAAAATGCATTTTATCTACCTTTCATTATTGTTGACAAATTTGTATTCTTTAAGAGAAAGTTTCTGAAAAGATCAAAAGTTGGCAACGATGAAGTGCATGGACATATTACATTACCTTGAAACACATGATTGCTTTTATAGTGTGATTATGACGTCACTTGTAAGATTTTGAGCTGATTGGCTAAAAACACGAGGTTATCATTATCATGTGACTATTGAGTCCACTCAGTGCGAGGCAATTACTAATTTTAAAATGTGGAAAAATATTTCTCTTAGTCGTGAAAAGGTTAAAAAAATCAAATCGGTATTTTAGTCACGTGATACTTTCAATCTTACGCTAGCTGGGTTTCCATGGGAACAAAATAGAATAATAAATTAGTTTATAATACATTTAAAATAATTTTAATGTTTCGTGCGATTAATTTGGAATTCTCGTATTAAGCGAATCCTTTTAGTAAGTTTTAGTATTTTTTTAGATTCAGATTATTTTAGAACAATTATATTTTTCCAAAATCGATATTTTCTAGTTTAATTATTCT